CCAGAGAATAATCCCCCTGATTCAGACTGGGCTGGAGTTTGTTCTGTTTTCGGTTGACTTGCCTGAGTAGGTTGAGATGGCTGTTGCTCCTGTGGTACATTCTCACCAGATGCAAGCTTCAGAATGCCTGAAAGCAAGCCTCCACTTTGACTGGGCTGCTGGGTAGCTGTTTGTTGAAGGCTTGTCATTTTCCCTGGCTGTTGTTGTTGTTGTTTTTGTGGTTGTTGTTGCCGCTGCTGCTGCTGCTGTGGTTGCTGCTGCTGCTGCTGAGGTGGTGCCTGACCAAATAAACCAGACAAGAATCCTCCTTGCTGAGTGGTTTGGGATGATTGTGGACCAGTAGGTTGACCAGGTCCAGCAAGGTTTGGTTTATTGCCAGGTTGAGGCCCAGTCTGTGGGGTGGGCTGTTGTGGTGCATCACTAGCAGCTAATTTATTAAAAAGTCCTGACAATAGTCCACCCTGTTGTGGCTCTGGTGCAGAGGCAGCAGGTTGTGGTGGTATCTGGTTTTGCCTCCGCAGAGGTTGTCTGTTGCCTTGTTGGGATTGCTGCTGGTTTCGTTGACCAACAGGTGACTGCTGCTGAGCTGGAGGAGTCGGACCTGAAAACAGCCCAGACAAAAAGCCTCCCTGCTGATTAGGTGGTGGCTGGGCTGTCTTTGGGCCTGGTCTCTGGGCCTGTTGCTGACTTGGTTGACTCCCCACTGTAGCTGGTGGGGAGTCAACTGCATCTGCAATTTTGTTAAATAATCCAGAGAGCATCCCTCCAGGACCAGTGGGGGGTTGTTGTGGAGGGACTTGGTTTTGTCGTTGTAGGTTTTGTCTGTTGCCTGGTTGTGAACCAGGCTGGTTCCCTGGTTGGACAGTCTGTGGGGGTTTTTGTGAGGACTGGGGAGGGTTTGCAGGAGCAGATTCTTGGCCCCCAATTCCAAACAGGCCAGAGAGAAAGCCTCCTTGTTGAGGAGGTACTTGCTGCACTGGTTTTTGGTTAGTTTCTTGAGCACCAGGCTCTGATTGTGACTGAGAGGGAGTAGGATTAGGCTCTACAATCTTGTTAAACAGTCCAGACAACACATTACCTGGCTGCTGATTTTGTTGTGCAGATTGTGTAGGTGGCTGGGATGCAGTTTCTGTGAGTTTCAACAAACCCCCAAACAATCCACTGGATTGAGGCACTGTTGCTTTTGGAGGTTCTGCTGTTAGGTCCGTCTGTTGCTGGCTTGGTTGCTGATCTGAGGGTACACTTTGTTTTGGTTGCTGGTCAGGCTGACCTTTGTCAGGAGGAGGTGCTTCTGTTGAACCTGATCTAGTCAAAATCTCTGCTGACTGAGTGGGAGGAGTCGTCCCTTGACTCATGTTTTGGTCAGCTCCTTCTGTTTTTGCTGCATGGTCAGCTGGTTGTAAGTCTAGACTGGACTGAGTTGGTGGAGACCCACTCACTGTGTCTGTAGCTTTTTTCAAGAGCCCAGATAAGAGCCCTCCAGTTGGTGGTTGTGCAGCAGCAGGTTGTCCTTGGCGTTGAGGGGGCGTTTGGCCAGATTGGCCTCCTGGCAATGTTGATGATGGCTGATTAGCAGGAGCAGAAATATCAGAGGCAAATTTTAAAAATCCAGAAAGCAGTCCTCCTGACTGCTGTGGGGTAGAACTTTGTTGTGTCTGGAGAGAGGACTGGGAAGGAGATGAAAACAGGCCTGAGAGCAGACCGCCCTGCTGGGGCTGACTATTCCCTCCCTGGACTTTATTGTCAGATGAAGCACCTTCGGATGGTCCTAGTTTCAACAATCCAGAAATAATTCCTTGACCCTGGGAGGCCTCTGGCTGTGCTTTGCCTTCTTCCACAGACTTGGGAGGAACTTGCTCTTTAGAAGTGACATCCGATTCAGGCTGGACATCTGTCTTGTGCTCGGACTCTTTTTCAGACAACGGTTGCTCCTGAGATAATTGCTCTGTGCTGCCAGCAGTGCTCTGTGTAGTTTCAGGAACCAATGGTTCAGTATGTGGCTCAGTTTGACCACTGGGTTTAGTTAGCGTCACGGTGGGAGTTATTTGGGGTTTTGCAGGTTCTTTGGCAGGTTCATTTGGAGCTACCTTAAACAGGTTTGAAAACCATCCAGTTTCTGTGTTTCCTTTAGGTACACTTTCAAGAAGTGCAGCACGACTTGGAGAGGGAGTTCTTGCTGGGGTGGGGGATGGACTTTTTGTTGGAGCATTGCCATCTTCACCAGATGCAAACTTAAGAATCCCTGATAGCATGCCTCCTTCTGCTTTTGGTGGAGTTGTTGTGGAAACATTTTCTGAGGAGAAAAATGGGAGTTTCAGTTTGCTTCCCAGAAAAGACTCCTCTGCGGGCTTGGTGTCACTCTGTGAGGAATTTTCTGGAGGAGCTGCTGATATGAGCGTAGAAAGAGATTTCTTAAAAGGACTAAAGAATCCGGTTTCCTCTGAACTGCTGTCAGGTTTTGGTTCAGCTATTGTGGGACTTCTTCTTTGCTGTATGTCAGGCAGCTCACCAGATGACTCTGACTCTGGAAGAAGTTCAACTGACCCACTTCCTGTTTCTTGGGAAAACTCAATTGATCCACTTGCTGTATCTGGCAAAAGATCCACTGATCCGGTTCCCGAACCTGGTCTTGTGTCACCTGATAGCTGTCGCTCTGTTTGCGAGCCCTGTCTATTAGGGCTTGTGACTCTGCTTACAGGCCCTTGCTGGGAGTCACTGCTTGCAGCAGAAGCACTTCTTTGCTCTGATGGCTGAGGGGATGGCTCTCTAGATGGCGGTGCACTGGAAAAAAGTCTCAAAGGACTAAGTCTTCCTAACATGCCTTCAAACCCAGATGTGGGCTGGGCACCAGTGGATGCACTGCTTTGTGCTTCTGTGCCAGCATGTGTTGATGTCTGCCCAGCCTCAGCTTGCCGACTGGTTTCAGATGATTGAAATGGCAAAAGAGACTGGAGGGAAAACTTTTTCTCTGTTGTGGGCTCCTGAGATGCAGGAGGAACTATGGCTACTGGTGGGGACGTACCACCACTTTTGGGAATAAATGAAAGCAGCTTTGAAATGCCGGATTCAGGCTGAGGTGGTGCTTGGGAGGTAGGTGGTTCTGTTGCAGTGGCACCAGAGGTTTCCGTAGCTTCGGTAGAAGGTTTAGGGATGAAAGAGAGCAGTTTTGAAATACCAGATTCTGCCTGTGGCGGTTGGGGGGATGGTGTTGTGACCGGGGTTTCTGCTTCAGGGGTTGGCTTTGATCCTGTGATTGTACTGAACAATGAGCTCATCGCATTCTTTACTCCAGCTATGCCCTGTTCAACGGTGCTATCCTCCTTAACATCAGGTTTGACTTCACCGCTACTACTGTCTGCAGGCTGCACAGCTTTAGCATCAGTTGGCAAAGGTGGAAGTTTTCTTCTAACTGGTTTAGGCATTGATTCATAGTTGTTGATCTCCTCCTCTTTTACAGCCAAGTATTCAGACACTGAGTGAACTAAGCTCTGCAGTTCATCCATCGGATCTACATATTCATCAGTCGGCTCCTCTACAGGAGAGAGCATGGGATCTTGTCCACGAGCTGTTCTCCCTTTACTTGAAAAGCCTTGTCCTCCATAAGCTGACGTGTACCTGCCAGGGTAGTAGTAACTTTCATATTCATAACTAGCATCCCCTTCAGTGAAAGCCAGGTCATCCAGTTCCTCCTCAGACCCAAAGGAATATTGCATCTCATCTGAACCTACAGAGCCATATTCACTCCTGCCTCTGATCCTTTCGGATTCTTCCCGAGCAGCTTCCTCCTCACGAAAAGCTGCGTAGCTCTCCAGCGTGTCTTCCAAAGCTGTTTTGGCCCAGAGTCTGGTCTTGTAAAGCAGACCTTCCCTGTCTGTCTGCTGTCGCAGCTGTTTGACCGAGGGAATTATATCAATTTCAGGAGGTGATGATTCATCCTCAAAGCTGCCGGCTTCCCTGTAAACTAACCGCACTTCTCCGCTACTGAAGCCATGCCGCTGTCTGTTTGTTCTGCCATTTAGCTCCTGCGTATCCTCTGGGGACAGCGCATCACATTCTACTGTCTGATAGAATCTGCTGCCTTTGGAAGAACCGTCACTAATCCGGTAGATGATGCTTTTATCCTCATCCTCCCACATTTTCTGCTCAGCGTCCAAGTAATCATCCAAGACACCGGAGTCAGGCACTTTATATTTACTCTCCCAATCCTCCACACCCATACCTGAGTCAACAGGGATTATTCTTACTCCACCCTTACTGTTTGATCGCCTGGATTCAAAAATAAATTAAGAAAAAATACAAGCAAAAAGAAAAAAGAATGCCATGCAGGAAGCAGTGGAGAACGATGAAAAGAAAAGGAAACAAAGAGAAAAGCATTAGACATAAATCAAAGCAGTAGATCATGCAGAGAAAACATCCATGCAAGCAAAGACTTAAAACAGCAAATGAAAAAGCCGAATACAAATGTGAAAGGAGGTGTTTCTGTTAGAGAGTGTGCACAAATTCATTATTATACCATGATGGTGCTCAAAACATGCAGTTATGTGAAAGTAACTTATTCCATTTTCAAGTGGCTATAATTACAATTTCAAAGCTTATATGACGATGAAAACATCTACATCTGATATTCTATAAACTGGTACAAGCAAGTGTTTGGATATAAATACACTTAAATTGGTATGATTAAGATAAATATGTGTTGCATGTGCTGGAGCACGACTCTCTAAAGCTGAGCCACTTGTGCTGTCGAATGAAATAATCACAGCTAAACCGACTCCTTAAAGCAAAAGCAAATACGTACGAATACAAATGATTTCAGAATTCAAGGTTGAGAGTAGTTGATTACTACTACTTCATACTATTTTAGTGCATTCCCTGTTAGTAATGAGCTCTGCACACGTACTTGACGACACCAGGATTATTTTTCCTAAGTGGTGCCGCAGTGACGAGGGCGAAGAGTTGTGTGTTTTCTTGTGTGTCTCTATGAGTCAGTGTGTATTCACCTGGGTCCCCTCATTTCTCTATAGTCTAGCTCATAGCTTTGTACAGACTCGGACTCCCTGGACAGGGTCTGGTGCTGGACCCGGCGTCCTATCGGGTACTGGTGCACCGACGAGTTTGTCTGCGACGTGTTGTGGAACCGTGGAGGTCTGTTGCCGGTTTCACTGCGATAGTCGCTGTCCCGGTCGTCCATTGCACTGTCATGGTCGTCAAACGCTGCGAGGAAGAAAACACAAACACGTCAGTGAAGCGTTGATAAGATAATTTCTCAACTTAATTATAACTTTTAAATTATACAGGACAGAAACAGCCTGGCGACTCGTTTTAATTTATTTGTCTCCTATCACAGTCTGCCCATTGTTAGTGTCAAACTCTCGGTTCATTTATTTTATTCCGCTTCCATCCTCTTGTTGCACTGCAGACATGTCATTGTTAGAACACTGCAGAAACCTGTTAAGTGTAATTTTAAACGAGCTGAACCAGCCAACTTTCACACAGCTGTTTCTAAACAGTTCTTCCTGGGAATCGTGCACCAGAGGGTGGTGGGTGGATGGTTATGCAGACGGGTGTGAATCTGAATCATCTGCAGCAACTCGTGGACTTTCAGGAGATCCAGGCCTCCTACTCCTCCTCTGGGGGAAATGGCACAGAACAACAAATACCTGGAAGCTCGCCTGAATTTTAACCCTCTGAACCCCAAAATGTGCTGGCAGGTCTTTTTAAGTAAATCACCGCAATTAGACCATTTATCAGAGCCAGAAACTATGAAAACAGCATTCTTCTGATAAGTTTCTAATGATCCTACTACACTCACTGTGACATGATGTTCTGTCAGAAAACTTTACCAAATCGAAGGTTAAAATCGTGATTATTTCATCAAAATTGTGTCCCATTAAAAAAAAAAAAATTCTCCAAAAATAAACGTTTTTGCAAAGGATTCAGTTAAAAGAAAAAAAAAAGAAAAAGAAAGCACTAAAAGAATGAAGCTCCTTGCTGCAACCAACACAGCTCCAAAAATTCAAAAACTTTTTAGCTGAACTACAGGCTTTGGAGACAAGCATGGAAACAAATTAAAAGTAGGAAAAAAAAAAATTCCCAGTGTCTGTAACACCTGTGGGCACGTCGAAAAATTTTGTACACACTGATCCCATTTTTACAAAATATTTGCTGAATAAACCATCAGAGGAAAATATGTTACTGTTTTGTTTTGGTTTTTTTTCCTCTTTCTAAGATTTATAACACTACAACTGTGTTATACTAAACAGAAGACATTTCAGAGTTCTCTCTACTTCTACTCTTGGTTTTGCTGTTTCTAAAGCGGTGCAGGACTTTATAATGTTGAGAAAAATGAGCCCACAGTGAGTAAAAACAGCCCAGAAACTGCTTGGAGTTGTTAAACTTGACTGGACCTTCTCTACAGGAGAAGCCAGAGTCGGTTCGTTTTCCTGCAGAGTCCTTTAAAATATGTGGCACCATGCTGTGGATGTTTCAGGAGAACACGGTGGCAGCTGCCGGGGCAAACGCCTCGGGGCGGGTGACACCGAAAGACTTCATAAACTTATTTGGAGGGCCTGCAGGGTGGATGTGGACAATCTACATGCAGCAGCAGAGACAAGGATGTTGTCAAAACTTCTCTGCATAAAGCGTCCCGACCAGCCACAGGCTAAGAATAACTCAAGCTTAAAGTCACACGAGGTCCTTTATCCCTGCAGCCATCCAGTTATATAATTTGCCTTCATGCTGGTTTTTTAAAAAAATAAATATATTTGAGCAACTGTCTTCAACTGAACAACTAAAGTTGTCAAATGCAAAAGGTAAATAAATCAGGCAAGTAATAAACAGCGTGATTCAACATAAATCTGCACCATTACAGACATACAAACAAGGACAATGTTTGAATAAACAGCTCCCTCTTGGGGTAACAGACGTGTAATGCAAACAGAGGAAGTCAAGCTGAAGATAATGGGAGCAACAAGACATTTCACTTCCACATGCCACATGAAAGTCTGATCAGGAGGAAACACGACGGTGAAAATATGACTCACAATGAATATAAATAATGGATATTGACCAAACGTGCAGTGGACCTGATTTAAATGAAAGTGGACAGAATGACACAGGAGATAAAACATCCACCATACGTACTCTGCTGGTCACTCCATCCAAAATAACTCCAGCTGCCTGAAGTGTCCAAAGAAGAGAAGTAAACTTTGTTAATGATGAATCAAACCAGCAACAGTGACTGGTGACGGTCAGATGAGTGGGTGACACGGAGATGATCACACAAATCTGCACGACTTGATGGTAAAAAAAAAAAGTGCGAGACGGATGATATATGTATCGACCATCCAGCATCATGAAGGGCTTCAATCCACACTCAGCTCTCCACATTTCACCATTTTGAACAGGAATGAGTAATTTTAAACTGAATTCACCTTTTATACCCAAATCTGAGCCTCTGGGCTTCTCTGAGTAGTCAGACATTTATCAAAGCACAACATTCAACCACTGAAACTATTTTTTCTGTTCAGGAATGCAAATAAATGACTATAATTTGACATCTTAATCAAGAAATAATGATGTGCTTTACTATTGTTTTTTGTTTTTTGCCATTTTAAAATTCATAGATAACAATTATAATTATACTTTAGCATTAAAAATATGTTTTCGGTTAAAGAGCTTCTACATACTGGTTTATGAACCATTACAGAAACATGAAAAATGACTTACCAGTGCTGCTAATTTAAAGCAGCTGTGGCATAAACCTCACATTTGGTGGTGGTCTAATACACTTGTTAAGTTTGGTATATTTATTGGTGAGCATCAGGAAATGATTTGACTTCGAGAGCTGACGATAGCTTTAGAGTGGTGCAGAGAAAGACAAAACCGCAACTAATAATGAATGAAAAATACTTTATTTATCCCAGAAGGGAAATTCAATCTTGTAAAAGCTCACTAATAATGAGCCTTTATGATATAAATATTACAAAGCGAGCCAAAACCCAGCGAGGAGACACAACATTTGAGTCAACAACGTGCAGAAATTGTAGGAGATTAATGCTGCTTTCTTTCTGTTGTTGTCAAAGAAGACACTCAAACAATCAAAAAAGCTTTTACCAGCCCCCTTTGCACGTCTTTCCGACTGCCAGCAGTTGTCAGACCTGACAACGTTTCTGCTGGTAACTTCTGAGTTTGAGTTCTTCACCTTCTGAAAGGATTCCACACTTGATATTTCTTACATAAGTTGACATCCATTTCTAATAACTACAGGAAGCAGCCGTCTGAACAGTGACGTCTGTCTGCAATGTGGATTTTGTCGGTGTTTTTTGTCCTTCAACTAACCGACTGAGCAAACCTTGGCCAGCTAACACTCCCCTCTCGGAGGAATAATGAGTTGATTATTAAATGAGGTGCAGCGAGAGCGACGGTAAATCTTTCACATGTTAACTAGATAAATATCAACGATCCTGCTCCAGAATCGCAGACTGCACCTTTAACATCAGCGCTTAAAAGGCTCATTATTTCAACATAACTATCAAAAACAGAAGCCGATGCATCCAGAAATCAAGCTTGATTCATTTTCTGACATTAATGGAGAATTTACTAAAAAACTGATGATCTAAAGTAGGATTAAATGCACTCGTCACACCCAAAATATAGAAAATTTACTTTCCTGCTCAGCAAGAAAAAGGAATAAAAGTAGCTGCGATGTGACACGACAGTGAACAAAGCACCCAAAACACACACATGAAACAAACAAATGAGAATGCCATGGCGTGAATGGGTTTTACATGTTTTTTACTTTTACTACTTACAGCACTGGGAGGGAACGGACGCCATTCTTCTTCTCTGGACCTCTTCCTGCAGCGGATACTGGTGTTTAAGAAAAGAGAAAACACACAAGAAGAAGAGAATAAGAGATATGAAAGAGAATTTTTAAAGAAAAAAAATAAAAATAAAAATCACTTTGGATTGTAATGACCATTATTCGTCACTAGGTGGCAGCAGAAGGCAACACACACTGCAGAGAAACACTGAGAAGAAGGCACAGTGAGAAACAATATTTAGTGAAAATAAAAATGTGTGGGGAACACCAGCAACAGTTCACAGTCTGAAGATAAAACTCAAACTGTACAAAACAATCAGATATTTCTTTAAAATCTAAACTCATACAAAACATAGACTTCACAGAAAGTCAGATTAAAGATTTTAGATGCTTTATTTGTTCCTCCCATTAAAGCTGCACTTTAAAACACATGTTTACACATGAACACAACATGCAGAAGGTTCTCTCTGCACTTCTCTTATTTCCAGAGAAGTCGCAGTTTATTAATTTACAACATGAAACGGACTCACCTCGTCGTGTATCCGCATGGTGTTGATGCGCTCCAGTTTACTGGTCCAGTACTGAGCCTCGTCCTCTGGGATGTCTGGATGGATTCATGGGACAGGACAGAAGAAACAGTGAGAATAATGTAGAGTGACGAGAAAACATGTGGCAGAGAGCGCAGGAGAGAGGGAATGGGGATGAAGGGGTTTGTTGGAAACGAAGAAACTAAATAATGGAGGATGAAGAGAAGGAAAAAGTGCAAGAAGACCTCAAGCTCCACCCTCCATCCGATCATCTCCTGGTTTAAAATCCTATACTCGTGTGTGTTTAATAGCCAGAGAGGAGGTTTGTTATCGAAATAGGATTAACAGCCATCTTAGGGCATCCCAAAACACAACGTAGAAGACGAGAAAAACACAGAAATGGGGGAAAATGTGAAACTCAGGAAGCTAATTGTTCCCAAAGTATGAATCGAAAGCTCCTTGTAGGCTGTAAGACGATTACCGGACATCAAACTAAACTTGAAAACAGTCATTAATGGCTTATTTTAACCATATTTTTTACAAAAAGATAAAACATCTGTATGTCTGCTGCTCAGTGTTACGGTTTATACTGGTGACTACTTTGACTGATGTGCTCTGCTACTAGCTTTTTTAAAATTGCAATAAAATAATAAGGGCTGCAAGGTGGCGCAGTGGTTAGCACTGTTGCCTCACAGCCAGAAGGTCTGCGTGGAGTTTCCATGTTCTCCCCGTGCAGCGTGGGTTCTCTCCAGGTTCTCCGGCTTCCTCCCACACAATCCAAAAACATGTTGAGGTTAATTGGTGATTCTAAATTGTCCGTAGGTGTGTGAATGTGAGTGTGCTTGATTGTCTGTCTGTAAGTGTGGCCCTGTGAGAGACTGGTGACCTGTCCAGGGTGTCTCCTGCCTTCACCCTGAGTCAGCTGGGATAGACTCCAGCCCCCCATGACCCTAGTGAGGATTAAGAGGTGTATAGATAATGGATAAAATAATATTATGACGGTGTGTCGTACAGAAAAGTTTTTTAGAAAGCCCTGATTATCTGCTGTAGTCTGTACACTTTCTGCACACGTTTTTTTTAAATGTAAAATATAATTTTATACCACATTTCTTTTGGCAATTTGCACATTATTTTGCACTTTATCTTCATTATTTTTCTTAAAGGTAACCCATGTGAGCTACTGGATGCCTTGAATATCACCCAAGAGGATGAATAAGTCAAAGTGTAAACATGTAAAAAAGATGCTTAAGTATAATAAAACATGTATTTATGGTTTAAAGTCTAAACTGGACACTTTTTTATGCTTCAGCGATACTAAATGTTAATATTTGGGTGTAGCTATCCAAATACTTACTGAGCACATACTGACGGATATTTAAAGTTCTGCATATTTCAACAGATATCACTGCATTCTTACAATAGTTTATCATAGTTTTGTTGTATTTTCGTATCATAATTGCAGCTTAAGCAACTAAAAATGATGTGAAAACTCTCCTTAAGAAAGCACTAATGCCAAACACTGGTTTATAGGGTCGGTTTCAAGTTTCACATCCAAACATTTTAAGTTATTTTGTGTCCCGAGTGATTAAAACACCATTAACAGTGGACGTCACAGTTCTGTGGACTATTCTCTACTGGTTACTCTTTCACCTGTCTTGAATATTTACTTTTATTTATGACAAATACTAACAAAATTGAGACACAAGTGGGACATAAACCTGAGTAAATGTGCTTTACACCTTGGATTTAGTGTGTTTTAATCTGAATTCTAATCAGATTTCCAGTGTGAGTCTTTATTCTGATGAATGACTGTAAAAACATGTGTATCAGCTCCATGAGATAACACTTGAATTATGAATTTTGATCCAATAATCTTAATTTCCTCCACGAGTTGTGTGTTAAAACTTGATTTGTCCTCATGTCGCCCTGCAAAGCTGCACCTCACAGCTTGAAAACACAACATTTGCAGACGCGTTTGTATGTTTTAGGATGAAAAAGATGCAACTCTCTATTGATTGGCACCCATGTTGTTAACTGGATGTCACTTGCTTTTTAAAAGGATTTGCCAACAGTTTGCTAAAACATACAATCTTATCTGCATCTTCAGGCCCTGATCTTTGGGCGGACGGCATCAGCGCCTTCTCTGACAGCTGCTTCAGATTCAAATCTTGCAGAAGGAAACAAACTGGTCCGTTGCTATCGAGGCGACTACGCTCCAGAAATAAAAACAGCCATAAGACGTAAAAATAAAGCGCGCTGAGGAATATTTAGGAGCAAAAAACGTTACCTTGAAGAAGCCCGTTATTAAAACTTCATGAACCCTAATGGTGCCTCCACAAGCTCTAATATATGGAGGGGAGGGAGTTTACAGGAGGCCTGAGGGGACAAAACACTGCAGTCAGCTGGGAGCAGAAGGAAACTTGCTGAAGTGAGGAGAAATAAATAGTATGCAAAACACATGGAGGGTGTAAGAAGAAAATATACTGTTCATCCGCATATGTTGTCTACTTGGTTATAAACAGCTGGACTATCTGAGAACAACGTGAGGAATTTATTGATTTTTTCATGTCTATTTGTCTTGATTTTAATTTTCTAGAGTTATTGTTTTCAAGGTAGAAGGAAAGGATTATCATCAAATATCAATCCCTGTTGTGTTTAGTTTTAACATTTTAAAAGTTTTTTCTGCTCACTGTTCTTTGTTTTATGTTTAATGATCAGGTTTTTTACTCCCTTAAATGGTTAAAGTCAAGTCAATTTTATTTGTATAGCGCAGTTTATGTCATCTCACAGTGCTTATCATGGTACTTAGAAACAAGAAAACCCAACAATCCAAAGGTTAAAGGTCCAGTGTATATAATTTAAAAGGGATTTATTGACAGAAATTGAATGTCCATCCATCCATCCATCATCTATACACCACTTAATCCTCACTAGGGTCATGGGGGGCTGGAGTCTATCCCAGCTGACTCAGGGTGAAGGCAGGAGACACCCTGGACAGGTCACCAGTCTATCACAGGGCCACACTTAGAGACAGACAACCAAGCACACTCACATTCACACCTACGGACAATTTAGAATCACCAATTAACCTCAACATGTTTTTGGACTGTGTGGGAGGAAGCCGGAGAACCCGGAGAGAAACCACGCTGCACAGGGAGAAAATGGAGACTCCACGCAGAAAGATCCCGGGTGTCCTCACGGCAACCTTCTCGCTGCGAGGCAACAGTGCTAACCACTGCGCCACCTTGCAGCCCTGAAACTGAATATAATGTGCATAACTATGTTTTATTTACGTACGATCGGTTGTGTTTTCATTTGCCTTGTATACAGATTTGTTACGTTCAGGTCCTCCTTCCTGGAGTCCACCATGGTTCTATGGTTTCCCACAACTTCTCCTACACACTCTATTTTTAATTTAATCTTTTAATATATGTACTCTGTTGATCCGAAGAGGAAAAATTTCACTTTGACAAAAAGATTGAGGCCACTAATATTTTGTCAGTTGCAGTCTGCAGACTCACCGCTAGGTGGCACTGAATCCTTCACACTGGTCCTTTAAGTTGGTGCTAAAAATGCTGCTTATATCACTGATCGACTGTTCGTTAAATATGCTGAATATCTTGGAACAGTGTGATGCTGTGTTTTGTTAGAATTTTAAAAGATAGTGAGTTTATCATAAATAATCATTCTGTCGTGGTTTATGGGTTTGCGGTTCTGGTTTAGCTTAACATTTTGGTTTACATCTGGTTTAACAACTATTTTTATTTTACGACATTCAACTTCAATATAAGATCCTCAACAGGCTTTGATGTGAAACAGGCTGCGTGTCACTGTCTTCGGCTGAGAAGAAGAAATGTGAATTTGGGAGCGAAGTCAGTCCGAAGAAATCAACCAGCATTCGGTCAAAGATGCTACAAAGTCAGGCTTGTGATTCGCATCAACTCGCAGACGGAAAAATATCGGAAAGAGTTAAAGGAGAAAATCATTCACACGCTGCTGAGTAGTTTTCTGTGCGTTTGTGTGTAGATACGCACCGAAGGGCAGCTCAAATCTGGTGTCCAGCAGCACTTGGTGTGAAGTCGGGTTGGTGGTTCCACAGATCTCATCCTCCCTCATCAAGACCTCAGAGTCCAGCGACGTCCACTCGCCTGGTCCCTCCTGAAGCACAGGAAGACGAAGACAGAAAACAAACACAGGAGAAAGGATGATGAAAACATTTAGTCGCTGAGAAACAAAGCTACAACATGACAACTGTTCAATAGTCGACGGGACGAGCGTTGACTGACTGTAAAAGTTCATCGATAACAACTCAGACGCCGCCGCTCGCTTTAAAGCTCTCCAGACGACATGATGAGGTCTATAAGAGAGAGCAGCCTGTCTGCAGTTCACAGAAATGAGTCGACTTCTCACTGGCAACCCGCAAGAGGACCTTTTAACACTAGCTGACGGGTAAAAGTGGCGTTTTAACAAGTGAGAAAAGTGTTTATTTCGACTTTTGTTGACACGCCATATATAAGATCACTCCTTCTGACCGTCCATGAGTACAAAGACTACAGATTAAGGGCAGGGTTGGCAGGATGGGGGAGATTATCGTGTCACATCTTTTCTCTGGATTTCTAACATGTACAGAATTGCAAACTAGTTGTTGACATTTTAAGTTGTGAAAAAAGGCGCCGTCTTCAGCTCAGTGTCCATGAGGCAGATAGAAGCATTTGGTCGTTTTCCACTGCAGGAACTTGCAGGTTGCTTCAGGGCGGCCTGAAGCTTTGTGCAAGTTCCTAAATACAAGAATCGCCCCTTCAGGAGCGTTTCAGGGCAAAAAAAAAGAGTGGAAAATCCAGAATAGGCACTTCAAAGCAGCCCTGAAACACCCCTGTGCAGGTCTTGAAGACAAATGTTGATTGATTAAAGTCAGAGAGGACAACAAGGGACATTTTTGCGGCGTCTTCGTGTCCTCAGCAAGTCGCATTCGCAACATAAATCACATCAAACATGACAAACACTGGATTGTTATGTGTCCTAAATGCTCGTAGACCTGGAGTTACATCATGTAGCTTCTATTTTTTGTTGTTTTGAGTTAACATCACAATCCTACAATGCAAACAAAACCACTGAAAGGGCAGATTCCTGTAGACCTGAACACCACCTGTTGATGTCTCTGACAGGTAACCGACCAGACCGGCAGCTGAAGCCTTACACATTTAAATAAACTTGACTTCCTGAACTTCCATTTAAAGGAATCATAGACATTATAAAAAACTCTATTTCTATCCACCTTTCAAAACCAGAGTTGCAAAGTGCCTTACAAAATAAAAGCACCAATAGATCATTTGGAAAGGACAATAAAGATAAAGAGACTTTATTGTCATTGTGCAGGAGTACAACGAAACTTGTGTGGAAGAACACGACAATAGCAGCAAGAAATAAAAATAATTTAAACAAAGTACTATATACTATATAAGACACTACATTGGGCATGTTTTTCATTTTGTGGGCATGAAGTTTGGCTTTGAGGAGACTTTCATGTAGTTTTGTGTCATTTCTTTGGGAATTTATCTCCAAAAGAACTTGATGTATCTGTTTAAATTACACACTGTAATATCTGTAGCTTATGATAAAAAAGAAAAGCCACCCCTGATGATGTGATGAAACATAAATTATGGAGCGGAGACGTCAAAGTTGAGGATATTTTGTCACACGGTGATTCTTAAGATGTCAGTGTGAATGAAGAACAATACTTGTGTCCACGTTTGAGCTGCGTTACCTCGTCAGACTGCCGGATGGAGTCGAGGGGTATCAGAGCGGTGCCGATCATCGTGTCCCAGATCAGACCTTTGTTCCACAGCTCCACCACCAGACCCGACTCCAGGTGGTTGATCTCGCTGGAAGGAAAAACACAAAGCTGAAGGTTAAAGACCGGCATCATGTGTGACGCAAATCTCACAACAAACATACTGAATGAGCAGCTGAGAGCGTACAAGGAAATGCTGAAGTTAATCTCATGTCAGTTTTGTTCATGTACAGCAACATATTCAGTGTTTAACACATTTATTAGAAGTCAGAAGTGAATCAAGCACAACATTCAACCACTAAAACTACTTTTTCTGTTCAGGAATGCAAGTAAATGACTAAAATTTGACATCTTAATCAAGAAAAAACAATCACTTCCCAATGTGCAGCAGTAAATTTGAAAATCCATGGATAACAATAATAATTATACTTTAGCATTAAAAATATCATTTGGGTTAAAGAGCTTCTACATACTGGTGTATTAACCATGACAGAAACATAAGAAATGATTTTGCTAATTACCGGTGCTGTTAATTTAGGGCAGCTGTGGCATAAACCTGACATTGGGTGGAGGTCTAATACATTTATGAAGCTCTGTAGGTGTCAAAGGCTGCAGTCAAAAAGAAAAAGGTTGCAAAATCTACACTTTATGATTCTCACTGAGTCATATTTATGGTTTGTGCTGCAGCTTCCAAACACTTATAGACAAACAACCGTGCAAAATGAAATGTTAAAAAGTCAAATCCCAGCATGAATACATAGTCGTGGTGAGTGTTCTGCAGTGTTTCGTGGTTTTGACTCCTGACTGACGTGAGGATGCGTTTAATTACTGCAGCGTAGAAACAGAGTAGGAGGTGTCGCTTCGCACTGAATCTGTCGAGCCGTCACATGAAGATCACGTGCTCGTTGTTGACGTTTCATCCGAGCGCGTTACAAACGTTGGCAGCTCAAATCAGACGGGTGCTTTTTTATCATCCCAATTTCTCCAGTAGAAATCGCTCGATTATTTAAATGCGTGTTGACAAGACGAGAAAAAAAAGAGACTTTAAAGTGAGGAAACGCACCTTTAACCTAACGGGAAGTCTTTCATCAAGCGTTTCGAAACGTAAACGCTGCATCTTTGCGGGTGACAGTTTGTGCAGCACGTCACAAGTAACCGACGCTTCATCCATCAATCCTCCAGTTTCCTCCTCACATCACTCCCGAAAATGACCGAAGATGAGGCGAAAGGTTGCGAGTGAGGAAGCCACAACACTTTGGGCGACGCTTGCACCCTGAAGAACCCGAAGCTCACAACTAGATTGCAGAAAGATTTATTTCTGGGTGGATAAATAATCTTATATCCATCCATCCAGTTGCTTTTTGCTTCCAGCAGGTGTGAGGCGTTCCCAAACCAGATGAGATGTGCAACCCTTCAACCCAGCGAGACTTTCGTCCAACTGGGAGGAAATCCAGAGTCAGAACTCAGCCACTATTCGCTGAAGGGATTATCCATCTCATCCGGCCTGACCTCGGGCGCGTCCATCTGGGAGGAGATCCGAGGCGGGACGGATGAGATAGTTAATCCCTCCAGAGAGTCTGCGGAGAAAGTGGTCGTCTCCCAAACTGAACAAGTCCGGAAAACCTCCAGAGGAACCAGATGTTGAAGCTCCTCATCCAGTCTCTTAGCCCAGCCTCTCCATCCAAGACTTTCTTCTTCTTCTTCTTCTTCTTCTCTTTCTTATTCTTTCAGTCACAACTAAAACTCATGACTGCAGCTGAGGATTGGAAGATATATTCGGACTAATTTTAGTTTCATTATGCTTTGTTGTTATTTCAGTTTATTTTGGTGGAGAGAGAGGGTGGGATGTGGGTGGGCTGTGTTTCTTTTGTTTGTTTATTTTTTTGTTGTATTAGTTTTTAATATATTATAAAATTATAATTAAAAATAAAAATAAAAAGGAACACAGACCAATCGAGAATTTTGCCTTCGAGCTCAGCTAACTTCTCACAGCTCAATGCAAAGTCTGCACAAAAGCTGTAGTGGAAAAAGTGATCGACATGCTTCATATTTTGCATGCATTCGTGTATTAATAGCAATAACATTAGTTCCTTTTTTGGGGCATTTAACTGCTCACATGTACAGTCTGTCTGTTGTGGCTGTTTGTTTGGATTTCAACGTACGTGTTGGTAATCTTGGCGACAGTATAAGTGATGAGGATGATAAACCGAGTAGGAATCATCTAGAAAACTTTGTTAATGTTGAATTTTGGAGAGATGTTAAATGCAGTGTGCAGAACAATGTTTTGGATGTGTTGCTGCAATGCTAGAGCCAGTGTGGAGAAATCAATCAATCAGTAACGGTAGAGCGAGTTAATCTTTTACGAGACTGAAGAAAAGCTGAGAACAACCTTTCCACTGTCCTCCCCGTCAGGCTGAACTTAAACAAAGACACGTTAATTCAACAAGAATCAGGTTTTCCAGGCAACAGGAAGTCAAAAATGTTTCGACCAAATCAACCAAATCAGATACGTCATCGTCTATAGAACAACCAAAACCATCGAAAATCAAAGATGGAAGATTCTAGTTGGCAGTAAGAGTAAGTTAGATTTCCAATAATATTAAAACTTATGTGCACGGCTTGTTTATTCTTCTCTGCAGAGGTGATCCATTCATTTTCTTCTCTTCATTAACCTCTTAAGACCCGAGCTCTTGTTTGATATTTATTTATTTGATCAAACTGCAAAAGAGAATAAAAAATATATAAAGAAAACAAAAATATATATTTTTTAAATATAAAAATAAAATTAAAAAATATAAAAACACAAAATAAATAATAATAATAAAATAATAATTTATATATATATATATATATATATATATATATATATATATATATATATATATATATATATATATATATATATAGAGAGAGAGAGAGAGAGAGAGAGAGAGAGAGAGAGAGAAAATTAATAAATAAATAATATATAATTCATATAATTTATTATATATAATTATTATATTATTATTTAGTTGTTTTTTTAAATTATGACCTACGGTGGTAATATAACCCAAAATGTGATGTCCATGTATGTGGACACCAGGTCTCAAGAAGTTAACTAAAATGTTCTCTGAGTATTTAACATCTCTGAAGAGCAGAAGACACAGCTCACATAAACCTACATTTTCACAGATTTAGCAGAAAAACAGTCCTTTCAACATCCTTCATACACTGATTTATGAATGAAAGCTTTCACATGAGCTGCAGCTCATCAACGATCCATCACACAACAAAGCAAAGCTACATTTGCTCCTGTTCCTTCATGCTGCAGGCCTTGCGTTAACCTCAGTGGAGTTTCTGCTGCCACCAGGTCAGCGAGTGCGTCGGCCTCCTCCTAACTAGCGAAGGCTGACAGCCGTCATTTTCTGACAGATCGGTGCTAAAGAAAAGCTCAGCAGCCGAACCGTCTCCCCCTCCTCATCTGCATATTGGTATTCACACTCCCATTCATATTCATCTGCGCTCAGCCCGGCTGTCAGTCAGCGCTGATGACACTTCACAGCTGGGATGATGGAGGACGAGGCTGGTGGGACGTTTAAGGTGGAAACCGTGTGATTGTGTGTCTGAAGTCAGCCAGTCGAACACGAGTTGAGTCAAAGACGCTCCTAAATGTTCAATTAATTAGCATCATAAAACTCTGTTCATGTGGTTGCTTGTTTACAGAGAAAACAAACTTCTGCAACTCGAGTCAGTTAGAATTCTTGAAGTCGCAGAAGTGAAATGAGAGCAGAGGCCAGATACACTTAAAAACATGATCATTTCTTTATGTTTTTAAATGTAATTTACTGGAATTTTATAGATTTTTTGTGTTTATTTAAATTAAATATAACAAGCAAAATCACACAAAAGATATAAATTTGCACGACAACTGTAAGAAAAACAGGCCAAAACTGTAAATAATGTTAAAATGACTGTAACATGACACTGTTTTTACTGTATTCAAATCAGTGGGAAAAAATGGCTATGGGTCACATTTGTAAGAAGTCAGAACGTCTTATTTAAATGTGAGGCTCAGCTGTCATTTGTTCTCGATGTGTTTGATGAAAAACCACTCCAGAACTCAGAGCTCCATCCTCCCATCCATCCGTCAGCTGTACCAGCCGGAGCCAGTAGAGGCTCACTGGGAGCTTGGATCAAACTGGGCGAGAGGCAGCACAATTTACAGCCAATTTAGAATCACCGATCAGCCGACCGTGCACTGGAGGAAACAGTCAGAACATGTAAACTCCAGACAGAACCACAGCGAGCCGCCCACCCAGAGCTCTGAGCGTCCTGCAGCTCATGTGGCCTCGGCACCAAACGGCCACGTGGTCCGGCTTTTATTGTTCCTGACAGCTGCTAATTTAAACCCACGCCAAGGTGCTGGACACAGAAACACAGCTCACCGTGTGGCGGGTTTACCTCCAAGCTGACAGCAGCTGGAAGTACACAGAATTTAGAAAGAAAGTCTAGAAAGACAACCTGTACTGCCCCTTGTTGAATAAATGAATAGATAGATAGATAGATAGATAGATAGATAGATAGATAGATAGATAGATAGATAGATAGATAGATAGATAGATAGATAGATAGATAGATAGGTGAGGAAGTAAACCGAGAAAATCTGTATTTATGGTGCCAGAAGTGCAATACTGTGATACTCTAAAATTGTAAAAACAGTGAAAATACAAACAAATATCTGTAAAATAATGACAATGATTCATTTTTAGTTCATTTCAATACAGTCAAAGAGCACCACTTTATGGTTATACATTATGCTTTATGTATGGTTATATAAACGCTAAACATAGTTTGGACTATTATTTTGGAGGGAGTTCATGACTTAATATTTTAGAATATAAAAGTGTAAATACAGCCTCTGATGATGTGAAATGATGTTAAAGTGGCATCAAATACAATCACTTCTCTTGGGGAGTTTCTGTTTTTGGCAGCTTTTCACCACATTTCAGTGAAATTAAAACTCGTCCTCGCAGGAGGAAAAAGTCAGATTTCAGCTCCATAATCAGATTTTTTTATGTGAAGTGTTGCTTCAGGCGACGATACAAAACACGT